GTGTCAGCGCCGTGCCGAGTGTTGTCTCTCGATACATTGAGTATGGCATGGCCTGCAATAAGCCAGATTTGTCGTTGGGCCACAAATCTTTGGAAGTGGAAGAGGAACAAAGGCACAATGGACAGCACAGTGGAAAAAAATGAATAGAATCCCCATAAATCTCACCTGCCTTTGTCGATGTGGCACTCGTGGCATTTCAGGTATGAACGAGTGCGAATAATTGAACAATTTCTTTCCTTGAAGAACTGGACCTATAAGTCCACTTTCATTCGCAGCGTTACCCAAATGAGTGAGTATCGAAATAAAATATGCCTAGGAGTAGAAGGGCCAGCATTCCATCACAATTGTCCCGGGATTTTCGGTGATTTCATTGATGAGACAGTAGCAGATTTTCATAATGAGAAGGAAAGCTCAATGAGGCTAAGCAGGCGATTATGTAGATTATTTACCAGTTGGGATATCTCGAACAAATATTTGAAGTTTTGTATAATGAATGCTAGATTTCCTTGGCCTTGTAGGGTTGGCCCACATCACAGAATTCCAGAAAATCTTTATGGCTGATGCTTTCCGATTAAAGACATAACAAAAAATATGGTACCATGAAAATACTATCAAATTGATGAGCATTCAAAAGAAAGGGAAGTTCATTTGTCAATCAACTCCCAACGATCTAATTTGAAAAGATTTTTGGGATTTTTGCGTGAACTATAACTTTTTTCCAATATTTTGTTATAATTTTTCTTGAGTGTATTTGTCTGTGTATTTGTCCCTCAGAGAACCTATATCATTGCTAGTGACAGCTATGCACGGCTCATTCGTTAGGTGTGCGGTACAATTATGAGCTTAGCGGCCATAGTGACCAGGACTAGGGTCACCACTATCAACGGATATGTTGATCATGTGCAAAGCGGCTGCACACTTTATGTTCATTGATATTTTTTACTTGAATACTTCTGCGTTTACCAATTTGTTAAGCAAAGCACGATTCCGCTAGGCTTGTTGGTAGATCAGCACCTAATAGTAATTTTGTGCATAGTTTTCTGGAAGAAAAGTCCGTTTAAATAATCACTCGAAAGAGTTTTTGTTCTAGAGCATCCAAAAAATTATTTATCGTTGTTTCCACTTTACTAATCAACAATTTCCGATACTCAGCTACGATTTTATCTCTGCTGCAATTACTCAAGTCATTTCTGAGATCAACGGTCTTATTCAAATGCATGTTTCTCTCTTATATGGTCTAAGCCAATAAATTGTAAATCTCGCGCGAGACTTCATCGCGGCTGCGTACGACGCTTTATAGCACTCATATTTACCGTGAATGATGAAGAAGAAGATAAATATTGTTATGGCGCTTCTCAGGGCACTTGTGGGGATGCCATCACTTCGGCTACTCCTCCAAGTAGCAGTTACTGTAGCTCAGCAAACTTACAATGAAATGTCCACGATTGACCTTTTTGGCAATCGAAACCCAATTTTTAACTATATGCCAAATCCTGGTCATGTCGATCCATCATTATTGGATCAGCGAGAAAAATACATGGATCTAAGGGAAGAGGAAGGTTAGTTTTGTTCTTGGAAGGACTCTATGAATTACGTTTTTCTCAGGATGGTGGCATCTGTTTCCATATGGACCACTCTATAACGATGCGAATTTGCTTAACAAACCACATCATGATCGACAAATTGATTTTGACTTCGATTTTCCCTATTATGGCTTTCGTTTCAACTACACAATGGCGAGTTTTAGAGTTCGATTGAAATGATGATAAGAAAATCTTGAATTCTTTCAGTCCCAATTATTTTTGAGCAATTATAATGAGGTTTATGAACGCAAGTATTCACACCTTCAGATCTATCCGAATGGTCTTCTAGCTTTTTCCGATCCAGAATTTATCCAGCCTCCGTATACTTTCCCAAATCCGCGATGGCCAGAGCAAAAGGTGAGCTATTTTATATCAAATCACATTTGATAGGTTAAAATCTTTACCTAGACGCCAGAAAACCCTTTCTCAATTTCTATGATTATTTGATTACGTTGAAGAAATGTCAATTATTTCACGAATTTTTTTAGGATGCGTCTTTCATTGCCGCGTTTTATGCTGACCAGATTTTTCAATTCGTGGGCGAGAGAGGGATTTCCAATGTGTGGTATAGGTAAGCGGCATACTTCTAGATGTATAAAGTACGAAGTTGTATAATAAAGCGTTCAAAAAATTGATTCCTTTGAACCGACCAATAAATTGCGATTGGATGACCTCGCCCATTATTTAATCCAGCCAATCAAAGATGACGTGAGGATCGTATGCTTTTCCATAGGATTATTGCGCGAAAATGTTGAGCAGAGTATGACATATCCGCAAAAAAAGAAATTACGATTACTTACTTCTTTGATCTCATACTCCTCTTAATCCCAGCTCTCCCCTCCATCTACCCTCCCATCCTCGCTCGTCCCCCTCCTCCGTCCTCCCGATCCCCGCCATGAACCCACCGAACCTTTGCGATTTTGCGCTGTAGAATCTATTTGTGAGTTGAAAGTTTGTATGAGGTACCTCTCGTGAAACTTAGTTTTAGACTGTGAAATCTACGAAAGTTGGCAGTTGTAAATTTCCTAGAAGACGACCTTAATCAATCAAAAATCATCTTCTATTTCCAGAATAATTTTTCGACCACGAGCCTTTGAAACATTTGACGAATGGGGAAGCCCTCTTATGGAAACTGGAAGTCAATATAGCAGCATGTTCGAGACGCATAGAGATCGCTACGAGAAAAAGGTCGAAGAAGAATATTTTGCATTTCTTGAAAAGCTCAATTCCCAACTCATTATTTTCCTTCAGATGTGGGGTCGAGTAGAGGACACTTATCTCCTAGATAATATCACAATGGCTATTCGTGAAGGAATCATTGGAGCCAACGGATTTCGTGCTGACTATGCCGTCATAGTCACTTGGGAGCGTATGGCGTATGGTGGAGCACCAAAAGTTACGCAGGTATGAACATGCTACAGTATCGCTACAGATGCCGCAATTTGCATAACTAGATTGTGGTTTGTGCAATAAAGCAACTTGCGTAATATAGTACAATTGTGAATTATGTAATGTGTATTGTGTTATTCAACTTGTGTAATATGTTAAAAAATTGGTGCAAAAATGAAACTATGATTGATTTCAATTACAGTAAAGTTTTTGAAAACTCGAAATATGATAATAGCTTCTCCCAAAAGTTTTGCGGTTTCGTTTTGGAAAAATTTGTAACTTTTCACTTTGTGACGACTTCTTTGTCTCCTTATTGGAAATTGACGATATTGAAATTAAAGATAAATCAGTCGAATTAATCATACTAAAATAGTTTGTTTTTTCCGTGCAAGTGCAAAATTCACCTTACCGTACTCATTTCCAAACATTTCTGTATGTTCCTAGGTAAATCGTTACGAAGAAGCGAAACGGTGGACAAATACTTATCAAGTCGTTTTGGCGACTGATGAAATTAGAAGGTGAAAAGATTTTATTTTTTTCGAAGGAAATTTTTTGTCCTGTTTTGTCTTTGATAC